TGCAGAAAAGGACCTGGGGGTTACAGTGGATGAGAAGCTGGATATGAATCAACAGTGTGCCCTTGTTGCCAAGAAGGCTAACGGCATATTGGGCTGTATTAGTAGGAGCATTGCCAGAAGATCAAGGGAAGTGATTATTCCCCTCTATTCGGCACTGGTGAGGCCACATCCGGAGTATTGTGTCCAGTTTTGGGCCCCCCACTACAGAAAGGATGTGGACAAATTGGAGAGAGTCCAGCGGAGGGCAACAAAAATGATTAGGGGGCTGGAGCACATGACTTACGAGGAGAGGCTGAGGGAACTGGGCTTATTTAGTCTGCGGAAGCGAAGAGTGAGCGGGGATTTGATAGCAGCTTTCAACTACCTGAAGGGGGGTTCCAAAGAGGATGGAGCTCGGCTGTTCTCAGTGGTGGCAGATGACAGAACAAGGAGCAATGGTCTCAAGTTGCAGTGGGGGAGGTCTAGGTTGGATATTAGGAAACACTATTTCACTAGGAGGGTGGTGAAGCACTGGAATGGAGGTGGTGGAATCTCTATCCTTAGAGGTTTTTAAGGTCAGGCTTGACAAAGCCCTGGCTGGGACGATTTAGTTTGTGTTGGTCCTGCTCTGAGCAGGGGGTTGGACTAGACGACTTCCTGAGGTCTCTTCCAACCCTGATATTCTATGATTCTATTAAAGTGATCCCAGTATAAGCCAAGGTGGGAATTTAAACCAATAGTCATACCAGTTCAGCCTCCCATGGGGAGACTCTTATTCTAGTACAAGAGTGGCCTTTTTCCAGTTTATTTAATATTGCTTTGGAAGGGGTTAAAGCTAAACCAAAAAAAGCAACACTTAGTGCAGAATAAGAATCTCCACATAGGAAATTATTCCCTGTATAAGTTTCCCATGCAGCTCAGCCCAAAAAAGCACAGCTTGGTCTCCTCGCCTCCTCCGCTGCTTACCTAACTCTTTTTCTGGGTTCCACTGGAGAACATGACTCATGCGCGCTTTGAGCTAGAGAAGCGGGGAATATGACATCTCTAAGTCTTTGTAGGTTAAAAAAAACAGCTTAACTGACAATTTCCTCACCTACTCTCAGTGAAAACATCCTGTTTTGTTCATTTATACCTTAGAGCAGGGGTCTCAAACACGTGGCCCGTGGGGTTATTTTCTGCAGCCTGCGAGCTCCTCATGGCCCCCCCGGCGTTTACCTAGAGCGGCTCCGGCTCGACGCGCACCGGGGGAAGGGCAGGCTCCCTGCCTGCCTGTCCTGCCCCCGCGCCGCTCCGGGAAGCAGACGGAACCTGGGGGAGGAGGGGCACAAGGGTCTGTGTGTTGCTGTTGCTTCAGGCACCGCCCCCAGCAGCTCCCATTGACCAGGAATGGGGAACCGCGGCCAATGGGAGCTGCTGGGGGCGCTGCCTGAAGCAACAGCAACACACAGACCCATGTGCCCCTCCTCCCCCAGGTTCCGGACGCTTCCTGGAGCGGCGCGGGGGCAGGGCAGGGCAGGCAGGGAGCCTGTCCTTCCCCCAGTGCGTGCCGGGCCAGAGCCCGCCCCCTGAACCCCTCCTGCACCCGACCCCCTGCCCTGAGCCCCCTGCCTCACCCTGCACCCCTCCTGCATCCCAACCCACTGCCCTGAGCCCCATGCCACACCCCGACCCCCTGCCCTGAATCCCCTGCTGCACCCCTCCTGCACCCCGACCCCCTGCCCTGAGCCCCCTGCTGCACCCCTCACCCCTCCTGCACCCCACACACCAACTCCCTGCCTTGAGCCCCCGCCACACCCCACACCCCTCCTGTACCCCCTGGGAGCAGGGAGGGGGCGGAGTTTTGGTGGGGATTTCGGGGAAGGGGTTGGAATGGGGGCAGGGAAGGGGTGGGAAGAGGCGGAGCAGGGGCAGGGCCTCACGGAAGGGGTGGAGTGGGGGCGGGGCCGAGGGCGGCGGGGGGGAGGTGTCAGTAATGCGGCTCTCAGGCCAATATACTAGTCCTCATGAGGCCCTCGTGGTCATTTGAGTTTGAGACCCCTGCCTTCGATCCTAAAAACCAGGGACCATGGCTCTGGGGGCGGTACAAAATCCCCAAAAGAAAAACAAGCTAACAAAAAAACAAACCTATCCCGACAGCACACACCCTTCCACAAACCTGAGCGGGGTCCCTGGAGTGCTGTATAGAGAGGGGAGACTGTGGACTAGATGTGACAGAGGCATTTTCCACTGCAATGTCCCATATATCAGGGAGTGACAGACGTTGTCTCCAACTGTAATATGTCTCCTTGAAAAGCATCAAGGAAAAACCAAGGCTGACCCTGGGAGACATTGTACTAGACAGTGACCTGCTACCAGATCAGGAGTGACAGCAAGGATAACAGGGTACTGGGGAGCAACCCCCAAACGCTGCAAGTGACCCCATCCTGGGTGCATCATACCCGTCTCTGACAGACACCTATGGTCTGGATTCTTCTAACACCTTGGCAACACTGGGCTTGTCTGGTGGCAAACATCACTAACAAGCAGCCTTGGTAGGCTCAGCAGACCCCCAAAGAGACTTTATCACATTGTAGGTGGTTGTGTTGTTGTTGAAGCAGCTGGGTGTAACCACCACCCTTCCTTTACAATAACTTTTTTTTTTTTTTTTTACAACTAACTCTTTTATGAAATCACAGCACCCCTATCCCAACACAGAGGCACACGTGGGCTACTCGGGAGTTTCAGTTATGTAGGAGAGGGACGTGGCCAGGTATTGCTTGTGAGTAGATGTGTGTGTGTGTGTGTGTACGTGTGCACAAGACAGAGAAGAAAAAACAATGGAGAAGCTGAGGGAGCAGGCAGCCAGAAAGCCAGACACAGAAGCGCTGGCAGTGGGATCCTGAGAAGAAACCTTGAGAGGGCGCTTTTGGGCACAGTGCTGACTGAAAGAGGCTAGGAACTGTGAGCAAGGAAACTGTCTCCCATGGTTTGACCCTTCCCATGTTTGGGGTTACAGGAATTTGTACTTTCTTTGTAAATAAGCCAGACTGCATCAAAGGTACCAGACCCCGCTGTCAGTTTCTCCCCGTAACTGGAGCAAGCTGCAAGATGCCACATTTTTGGCGAGTCGCTCAGGTCAAAAGGGATAAGAGAGGGTTTGATGAGCATCTGACCATGTAGCTGTAGCTTGCTGGAGGCAGACCAGCTTCTTAAGGCTTGCAATGGGGCGGGTGGATGCGTGTGTGTGAGGTCTCACATCTGACACCAGGGCCCCAGCTCTCCCCATGCCCCTAACCCCTACATGCACACACACACTCCTGGACAAACTCGGTAGGGAAGGAGCCCTGCTCCCCCTGATTCTGGGAGAGCTGGATAGCCTGGCATCTGGGCAAACTGCTTACCCTGGGGGATTAAACCAAGGGCCGTCTGGGGCTGAGAGAACTGTTCAGTTTCAGCCTCCGCAAGTATTTTCCACAGTCATATTTAAGGCACAGCAAACACCCCAGCAACTCCCAGATTTGCCTTCTATGATGAGATAACTGGCTCTGTGGATGAGGGGAAAGCAGTGGATGTGTTATTCCTTGACTTTAGCAAAGCTTTTGATACGGTCTCCCACAGTATTCTTGCCGCCAAGTTAAAGAAGTATGGGCTGGATGAATGGACTGTAAGGTGGATAGAAAGCTGGCTAGATCGTCGGGCTCAACGGGTAGTGATCAATGGCTCCATGTCTAGTTGGCAGCCGGTTTCAAGCGGAGTGCCCCAAGGGTCGGTCCTGGGGCCGGTTTTGTTTAATATCTTTATTAATGATCTGGAGGATGGTGTGGACTGCACTCTCAGCAAGTTTGCAGATGACACTAAACTAGGAGGCGTGGTAGATACGCTAGAGGGTAGGGATCGGATACAGAGGGACCTAGACAAATTAGAGGATTGGGCCAAAAAAAACCTGATGAGGTTCAACAAGGATAAGTGCAGAGTCCTGCACTTAGGACGGAAGAATCCCATGCACTGCTACAGACTAGGGACCGAATGGCTAGGTAGCAGTTCTGCAGAAAAGGACCTAGGGGTCACAGTGGACGAGAAGCTGGATATGAGTCAACAGTGTGCTCTTGTTGCCAAGAAGGCTAACGGCATTTTGGGCTGTATAAGTAGGGGCATTGCCAGCAGATCGAGGAACGTGATCGTTCCCCTTTATTCGACATTGGTGAGGCCTCATCTGGAATACTGTGTCCAGTTTTGGGCCCCACACTACAAGAAGGATGTGGAAAAATTGGAAAGAGTCCAGCGGAGGGCAACAAAAATGATTAGGGGTCTGGAGCACATGACTTATGAGGAGAGGCTGAGGGAACTGGGATTGTTTAGTCTCCAGAAGAGAAGAATGAGGGGGGATTTGATAGCAGCCTTCAACTACCTGAAGGGGGGTTCCAAAGAGGATGGAGCTCGGCTGTTCTCAGTGGTGGCAGATGACAGAACAAGGAGCAATGGTCTCAAGTTGCAGTGGGGGAGGTCTAGGTTGGATATTAGGAAACACTATTTCACCAGGAGGGTGGTGAAGCACTGGAATGCGTTACCTAGGGAGGTGGTGGAGTCTCCTTCCTTGGAGGTTTTTAAGGCCCGGCTTGACAAAGCCCTGGCTGGGATGATTTAGTTGGGAATTGGTCCTGCTTTGAGCAGGGGGTTGGACTAGATGACCTCTTGAGGTCCCTTCCAACCCTGATATTCTATGATTCTATGATTCCCCCCATTCCCAAAGGTGTTACAATCACAGGCACGTCAGATTCCTCCTACACCTGCTCTTTGACATTTGCAGAGCCCCGTCTGTACAGAGCCAGAGGTTTGCACATTTTTTGCAAGCTCTAGCTCCCCCAGCAGGCGTGGGCTGGAAGCAGGGAGCAGTGGGTGGGATTCAAGGGCCTGTGCTATACAGTGGCAGGTGTGTGGGCAGAGGGAGGTGTCAGAACAGATGATCACAGTGGTCCCTCCTGGCTTTACAATCCACGAAGCTAGAGACCCCATTTAAATGCTCAGAACCAGGCTTAAGTTACCTGGTTCCGCTCTGCTCTCGGGGTTTCCACAGATATCAGGATAAACCTCCGGCCACAGTTTCTTCCCTGCGGGATCCATTCTTTTCTCTTGTCTCGGTGGGACACGCGGGCACGCGCTGGGCGCCTCGCTTTCTCGCTATACCCGGCGTGGGGATTCAGTCCCAGTCGGCTGGAGAGATTCCTGGCTCCCGACGTGGCTGTTCTGCAACGCAAGAGGGAACAGCCAGAACATGTAAAGGGCAGTTTCTGTGGATCGCCACTAGGTGGGTTGCGGAGTCATCACTGCTATAGACCTGGGACATGGAAAGTTCCCATTGGTCGATTACTAGACCTGACTTTCCCCACTCTTTAAAAGGTTCTGAGGCTACATGCTCGGTTGAAACTGCTCCCCAAGACACAGCTGCCTCAGATGCACTGGCAGGGGAAACCGAGGCAGAAACACAGCAGAGCTCTGACTAGGCTCCCCAGATGCAGGTTTTCCCTTTGTATAGTATCCCAGCACCTTCCCCAAGCACAGCCCTTCTCCCCACTAAGCCTACCCTAGCCCCCTCATATTCCCTCCTCTTATGCTCTCAAACACAGCCATTTCTCCCCCCACACTTTCTGGTGGGAGGGGGAAGCAAGGCTGTGGGGGGAGCTTTGGGGCAAGGAGGATTGTTTTGGGGAGACCTGGTGCTCAAAAAGGGGTGCAGCAGAGAAGGACACCAGCCCCAAAGCACCAGGCTCGCCTGGCGCTCCTGCCTCAGTTTCCCCATCAGTGCTGCCTCAGTGTGCAATGGAGTCTTTAAGCGCTGATGCCTCCGCATAGTGGGACTAAGCTCCTCACTTCGGACCCTTGCCCTGTGCACAGTCCTATTCTCTTCAACACAGGAGCCCCCTGCACACGCCCCCCCCCCACCATGCATTCCCAGCCTATCCTCCCCCCACACACACACTGCCTTCAACAATGCTACTGAGTCTTCCCAACTCATGCCCGCCCTCCTCCCTCCTCTTAGCTATCAAATTCTTCTACACAGCTGCAATTCCCAGGACCAAAAAAGAAATATGTGGCCAGATTCTAAAACCAGAACTTTCTGTGGGCAGTAACAACCCAGCCACGTCTCTCTATTGTTCCTTGATAATGTGCTGGCATATAGAAGAAAACAAAAGAGAGGAAATAAACTGGAAAGAGGCCAGATGTGCAGTGACTTGTCTTAGCTCCTTACTGGTTTTCTCAAAAGCTACTTTCAAAATGCACAAACCCCCCCAACCCCCCAGAGACAGCCCTTCCCTTAGGACGGGGAGCGCTCCCCCAGGAAAACACAACCCAGAGATGACAGCTGCACCACTGACTTCCCTGGATGCACAGCCCACTGGCCCAAACACCCACTCCAGTAGAACGGCTTGACATATTTTTTATCACTGTGTTTTCCAGCCAAAAAATGATCCAAATGGTCCAAAAGTAACGGGGCGGGGAGAGGAGGAAAGTGTCATTTTTACAAAAATTTCCAGCAGGAAATTTCCAAGTGTAAATTTTAGTTTTGGATTAAAAAATCCTCATCACTTTTTTTTATTCTGCGCCCTTCCCCCTCACCCACCCCCTTTCTGATGGTCTCAGAGCAGCCCAACCCGTGTTCTCTATTACAACGATAGGGTCGGGGAGGGGAGGGGAGGGGAGGGGGGCGTGTCTGGCAGTGTCCATGTGCTGGATGAGGGTTTCTACAGCATTTTTATGCCCAGGGGCAGACTTTTCCTGCGGGACGAGGAGAAGTTTCCCTTGTTGTCTATTTCGACAATAGATTTGGGGGCCAAAGCTTGTCTGGGTCACTTTTTGTTGAAACCACTGGTTTCCCTGCAGATGCAGACCCCAAGCCATGACACTCAGTCTCACCAACTCACACCCAGGGCCGGCTCTAGGCACCAGCGCTCCAAGCATGTGCTTGGGGCAGCACTTTCCATGGGGCGGCACTCCAGCCCCGCCCCCCTTTTTTTGTTTTTTTGTTTTTTGCTTGGGGCACAAAAAGCCGGAGCCGGCCCTGAACCAAGATGTTCCCTGTCAGCTGAGGCTTTCAGGCTGCGCTGGAACTGACGCTGCAGTTCTGGCTGCAGTCACTAGATGGCGCTCATGGCAGCCGGAGTCGCACAGGCTGGGCTGCAGCCCAGCCTGGGTGTGAGGAGCTGGGGAGGGAGGGAAGTGGGCCCGGGATGCAGGGAGGGGGGAGGGGTCCTGCTGCCGCTGCTGCTCTGAGTCTCCCCAGGGCGGCGCGGCGTTTCCCCGCCCGAGGGGGCTGTGCAGGGCGCCGCCGGGCTGGACAGGGGGCGCGGATCCCGGCTCGCGCGCTGACAGGGCGAGTGGCTGGGCAGCCCGAGCTGCCAGGGAGCTGCCGCCGCCCCCTGCTGCCCCCGGACCCAGCCCACCGCGCACCTCTCCCGCCTCAGCCCCGCGCTGCCTGCCCTGGGGACCCCCGCGGCTTGGGCACCTGGGGGGGTCAGTGTCTGTCCTCTCGGCTCTGCCTGCACGGGGCTGGGGAAGCAGCTGTCAGCGCCTGCCCCTCTCAGCCCTTGTACCCCCATCCCACTTGCAGCCCCTCCACTTGTACCTCCCCCCATCGCTCCTTCGTCGCACCCCTTCCCCTTGTACTCTCCCTTCACCCACACTTCTCCCCTTGTACCCTCCCCCAGCCCTCCCACACCTCCCCCTGCACCTCTTCTCCCGCAACCCTCCTGATACCCCCTCTCCTCCTCCACCCTCCTCTGCGAGTACATCACACCCCATTTCTCTGCCAGTGTAGAGCCCCCAAGCGCCCCCACACCTGCTCCTCTGCCTGAACCCTCTTTACTAGATCCCCATCTCTTTTGGGGTACAAGGTTTGAGGGTTAGTCCCTATGCCTTCCATGTGCATTTGGAGCACTAAAGATGGGGTTGCGGGGGACGAGATTTATACTAAAGTGAAATAAAAATAGGAGGATCGGTTTAATCCCCACTGCAAGTGTAAACAGGGATTACTGTGGTGAACGAGGAGGTCACGTTTGTGGGGGGGAGCCCAGGGCTGGGGCGGCAGGAGGTGCGGGTGGTGGGGGGGGGAGAAAGAGAGCCCAGGGCTGGGGTGGGGGGCAGCCAAAATTTTTTTTGTTTGGGGCGGCAAAAAACCTAGAGCCGGCCCTGCTCACACCCCACCAAACACCCGATTCACCCGGGGATTCCCCGGAGCATCCACACTAGGATTCAGTGGGTCCCCACTACCTCCTGGGCCCTCGTAGGTGGAACCCCTTCCCAACTCGATGCTCTCCCATCCCCCACACTAGCCTTTCCTGGCACCCCTGCAGCTCACCCCGCTGCATAGGGACCCGGCCTCAGTGCTGAGAGCGCCCCGTGATCTCCCCACCCTACCCGCCCAGGGGGGCTGGAACAATGTGTAGAGTGCGGTGCTCAGAGCCATTGAACCCAACTGTAAACCCTGCATATGATGGGAACCGCTTCAAGCCAGGGGCAGGCCCCGTAGTTCCAGAACCAATGCGCCCACCCGCTCTCCAGTCTGGATCACTACTGGGGTCCCTAGCAGCATCTCAGCGAAATCACACACCCCAAAACACACACACCAGCCCCACCCCTGCCCACCCCACTGCCAGGTGCAGCAGAAGGAAGGAGTCCCCACTGTGTCCCAGGGAGCTCTGCTTGTCTGCAGGAGCCCCTGCTACAGCCACAGTGAGGTCCTGGCCCCAGCTGCCTCCCCCAAGCCTGAGCAGCCCAGGTTATGGCCCAGTGACACCCCCCAACCTGGGCTCCCTCCCCCAGCCCCAGCCCTCTCACCTGGGACCTGGCTCTCACACCGCAGCTGGACGAGGAGACGCTCTTGTGCCTGGGGAGCCAGTCTCAGCCCTCCCTTGTCAACACAAAGGGAAACCATGGTGGGGGTGGAGCTAGCTCTCCATCAATCAGGGGCTGAGTTAAGGGGGGCGGGGAAACACTTGCAAATTAGCTCTGCTGCTCCAGTTCCCCCAAAGTCTGTGTAAACCCCGGGGAGTGAGCGCGGTTGGGCCAGGCTGCTGGGAATTGCTAAAACACAAATTGTCAACATCACATGTCAAAATACAGAGACAAAGTGGGGGAGGTGATAGCTTTTATTGGACCAACTTCTGTTGGTGAAAGAGACAAGCTTTCGAGCTTACACAGAGCTCTTCTTCTTGAAAGCTTGTCTCTCTCACCAACAGAAGTTGGCCCAATAAAAGCTATCACCTCCCCCACCTTGTCTCTCTAATATCCTCGGTCCAAAATGACTACAAACAACGCTGCAAACAAAATATACCAAGTAGATACGTTAAATCAAACTCTAAAGTTCTCACACAACATTTTTCTTACTTTGCCTATCTGCACATTTCAATCATCAATGGAATTTTTCCCCAGTTTCTGCGTGTACAGTGAAATCGACATTTACCAACATAAATCTACTCCTTCCAAGTCTATTCAGACTGCAAACTCTTTATGGCAGAAACTGTCTCGTTCAGTGTGCCAGGCACTGTACAAGCACCGCGGAGGAGCTCTGATCACATTCGGGAATTCTATTAGGACACAAATAACATCGGAAGATGAGGGTTAACACACCCGCTTGGTTTCCTTCACAGTATGGCACAAGTTAAAGGAATTTAACCCAAACTGGCTTTATAATCCCTTTGCAATTGCCTCTGTGTGCAGACAGTAATGCGTACTCTGATTGATTTTCAACAAATCATGTGGCAGCAAATCATGTGGCCCAGCTCCAAGACGGGTTAGGAATAAGAACAATTTCCACATGACAAGCAGAAAAATTCTATCACCCTCAGGTGGTGTGGATCATGGGTTCAAGAAACTGTGTGACTTCCTTGTCACTTGGACACATTCATATGGTAGTGACTAGTTTGGGAGGAAACTAGAACGTCAATGCCAACCCTTAACGAGATGCCATAATCAATACCTCACTCTTCTATAGCTCTTTTCAACATAAATGCCCTGCCCAGAAAAATCCAGCCTCCTTTGATTCTTTCAGATTCTTACTTTGTTGATATGTAATCGTATCTGCCCAGCTATTAATTCTACCCACTAACCTACAAATCAACCCTCCC